TTCCTCTCATCGTACCATGTTAAACCTAGTATTGGCGGCGACGTGTCGTCACAGAAGACGGTAGGAACTTGGCGTATAGATTTTGTTGTACAACCTAGCTCAACACAATCTCAGATTGGCCGACCACAGTGGATCCATAAGTGTTACCCAGTGGTAAATTCGATAAAATTCCAAGAGAATTTCCTTTGAAGCTTATTTCAGTCAACCATTGTCTATGAGCGTTGTATCGAGTTCTCTGTTGCTTGCAAACAATACGTAAACCCGATGGCGTTAATCTTCATGCATTACCTGAGGGTAAAATTCTGAGGTTTTATTGGAATATTCAGAATTTAAGTGTTCTTTTCAAATTGATTAACCTGACGTATAGTTCAATACATTTATACTTTGAACTATGTTTAAGAGAGGCATGTCATGTTATGTACACAAGTATATTTTTAAATTATTTTATCGGCATTCTAAAAGATGGTGAATCAGTAATGACGCATACAGCTTATGGATAAAAACGTCTTGTTATTCCATAGAGCGACGTTTTGGTGAAGATTCTTACAAAAACTAGTTTGATAACGGTGTAAGCATATGCACTCAACGTCACTCTATGCAATAATGAGTGAGTGAGTAAATGGTTAACAATATTCCAGCAATATCACGCGGGGTGACCTAAAATGGGCTTCATCTATGCAATAAACAAGTAGTTGTTATCCATAAGTCTCATGCTTTGGTGTTATATTTTTCTGTTTCGATTTCTAATTGGATAAGACTTCACGAGGATACAGCGGTATTGTATTATTGTATTGGGGTGTATTGTATTGACTTGGTATGTAACGATCCTGTTGTATATGTCATATAGCATGCCCTTACTTGGTAAAGTAGTTGTGTGCGTTGAAAATATTTTGTTCCTTTATTGGAAAACAGTTGTTGTGTGCATTGAAAATATATGTATTTGGTTTTTTATAGCGTAGCAGTGCATTGGAAATATTTTCTTCCTATATGGCAAAGCAGTCTTAATATGTATGGCATTTACTGAGCACATATAAGGCCTTGCCGCTTTGTGTGTTTACTTTCAATTTGATCGACCTCGCTACATGCTCAAGACGTAAGGTAACAGCGCGGCACAAACATACTTTAAAATGTATGCACTGTATTTCCTTTAGTAAGCGGGCGCTTATTTTTGTCAATGGAGTTCCAGATCCGGTGTTTATTGGAGGCCCGGCGCTTTTGCGTTTACTGGGTGTAGTTACCGTAGCTGAGGTCCAGCGCTTATTGGAGGAAATACGGTACACTAACTACGGTTGTAACGAACTCAAAGAGACCATTAAGTTTAGCTCGTTATAACGTTGTACTCATTTCGACTATCATATATAGCAAGAGGCCACAACCAGTTCGTTATATCCGCCTGTTCGTTGTAAGCGTAGATTTTATAATCCCCGTCATATTGGCGATCGGTCCCATACAAGCATATGTAATAGGAACGCACGCAGTTAATGCGCCGGCATACGATAAACCCAGTTCTCATCAATATGTCCTCCCCACCACATACTGTGCGTGCGTCTATAGCATCGATTTTCCTGCCAGGAACCATTGTAAAGATCCTTTGTCTTTGAATTTAAGTATTTGTTTAAATAGCATGTATTTACAAAGGCCTGAATGTTTTAATGCGCTAAACTCCCCGACAATAGGTATGGAATATCATGAGTGTAAGCTTGTTTAGCACGACCAAGCTGTGTCCATGTGGTACACTATCGGATGGTATATAGCTCGCGGCTGTTCTTATCCCGATAAGGCATTCACCATTGTATTGGTTCTTTGGACAAGTTTGGAAACAATATTGATTTTCAATATACATTCAATCCACAAACGATTGGGGCCACTTAAAGGGTTTGTAATGCCCAGCAAGTTGTGTGTCTAGCTTGTGTATTGGTGTTGGGTAACCTCATACTCTTTATCGAACCATTCTGTATTGAAAGGAGGACTCATGATGAAATGTCTTAACTCTGAAGGCGGAGATTAAGTATGCGCCTCGCGTTTATATAAACACCATTTCCCATTCCGTTCTGACCCATATTCCAACAATTATCTGAAATAGTCTATGTGGCGAAGCAGCAATTTTGTCACATCCTATATTTGGTTCATTTATGGCGAAGCTATATCCTTTATTTGGTTCCATTGTGACAAAGCAACCCTGTTTGCATATCCTTTATTTGGTTCCACTTTGACGAAGCCGCGATATTGGCATATCCTTTATTTGGTCCCAATTTGACGAAGCCGCCATGTTGGCATATCATTTTATTTGGTCCCAATTTGACGAAGCCGCCATGTTGGCATATCCTTTATTTGGTCCCAATTTGACGAAGCCGCCATGTTGGCATATCCTTTATTTGGTCCCAATTTTACGAAGCAGCCCTTTTGCCATATCCTTTATTTGGTCTCAATTTTACGAAGCAGCCCTTTTGCCCTATCCTTTATTTGGCCTCAATTTGACGAAACAGCCATGTTGGCATATCCTTTATTTGGTCTTAATTTGACGAAACAGCCATGTTTGCATATCCTTTTATTTGGTCCCAATTTTACGAAGCAGGCCTTTTTGCCATATCCTTTATTTGGTCTCAATTTGACAGAAGCAGCCATGTTGGCATATCCTTTATTTGGTCCAAATTTTACGAAGCAGGCCTTTTGTCATATCCTTTATTTGGTCCCAATTTTACAGAAGCAGCCCTTTTGCCATATCCTTTATTTGGCCTCAATTTGACAAAGCAACCATGTTGGCATATCCTTCATTTGGTTCCACTTTGACGAAGCAGCAATATTGGTAATATTGGCATATCCTTTATTTGGTCCCAATTTGTCGAAGCAGCACTTTTGCCATATCCTTTATTTGGTCTTAATTTGACAGAAACAGCCATGTTGGCATATCCTTTATTTGGTCCCAATTTGTCGAAGCAGCCCTGTTGGCATATCCTTTATTTGGTCCCAATTTGACGAAGCCGCCATGTTGGCATATCCTTTATTTGGTCCCAATTTGACGAAGCCGCCATGTTGGCATATCCTTTATTTGGTCCCAATTTGACGAAGCAGCCATGTTGGCATATCCTTTATTTGGTCCCAATTTGACGAAGCAGCCCTGTTGGCCTATCCTTTATTTGGTCCCAATTTTACGAAGCAGCCCTTTTGCCATATACTTTATTTGGTCCCAATTTGACGAAGCCGCCATGTTGGCATATCCTTTATTTGGTCCCAATTTGACGAAGCAGCAATATTGGCATATCCTTTATTTGGTCCCAATTTGACGAAGCATCCCTGTTGCCATATCCTTTATTTGGTCCCAATTTGACGAAGTAGCCATGTTGGCATATCCTTTATTTGGTCCCAATTTGACGAAGCAGCCCTGTTGCAATATCCTTTATTTGGTCCCAGTTTGACGAAGTAGCCATGTTGGCATATCCTTTATTTGGTCCCAATTTGACGAAGCAGCCATGGTGGTGTTTCCCTTTTTTGTACCCTCATGGTGTCCCAGTACAGCTATTCTGCTATGTCTGCCGACCGTCAGTCGGATGGTTGTATCAAGGGGCATGTACTGGGAAGCCATTGATCCACATTAGCGACTGTGTACTGATTTAACGATTAAGTTTATCTATGTAAGAAGTCAATGCACAAATATATTTCGTAATTTTTCCTTTTTTTTCAGTCAAAGCCACAAACTACGAACAAAAAATGATTGATTTTTTTTTTCAAATTACCTCATATTGATGATAACGACTTTTCCCAAGCTTCGCAAACAAAGTGTTAGAATTTTAAGATGCCCGTGGGATAAAACCTGTGCAGAGAACAAAGAGGCTACTCCAATCACGGGAGTGGTCCGGGTCACAGCTGTCCCCAAGACCAATGGTGTCGTGGGTGCGGAGGGGTAGCCGAGTAGGTAAGCTGAGTATCGTCACAGGCACGGGTCCGTGTACCTACATGGGTACAATATGTGAAGTCCATCTCCGGTGTCCCCACTGTGATGTTGCACCGACTCACCGACTCACCGACTCACTGGACTCACCGACCCACCAAATGGTTCAGGTCCCACTTGCACAAAGCGATCTTTGCGCTACAATGATTGTAACTCCCATTCTCCAACATAGGCTTAAGATAGTCGTAGCGATAGGATCGCTTCGTGCAAGTGGGCCGATGTGGACTGGCTTCGTGAGTTGGTTTGTTGCGTGCCATCGTGCCTCAGTGGCGTTGAACATTGCTCATGATATCAATCATTCTGTAGCTGGTCTGGTCCAGATGCATCGTTTAAAGGACTCCACCATATTGACGAGTTAAAAAAAAGAGAAGGGGAAAAGGCTGAAAAACAACAACACACACACGCGAGCGCGCGCGCAAAACAAAACAAAAACAAAACAAACAAATACAGAACAAAACAAAAAAATCCCGTCGTTTAAATCACTGGTTGATACGTTACAGCTGATATGTTAAAATCTAAAAATCAGTATCATCTTGTGTTTTTTGGTTTGCGTAGCCATACTATACTACACGACCGTTAGTAGGGATAGTTTAATCCATTAACGCTATGACGTTTGTATATCCCCGACAAAATGGAGTAGAACCAATACCATTCCATGCTGTGAGGGATCGAGTGGGGTTTATGCAGTGTCTCACTCTGTCTCAACCACATCACAGGCTGAGAAATGCGATTCACACACCTTAACCATAAAGTGAGTGAGTGAGTATGGTTTTACGCCGCTTTTCCGCCGCTTTTAGCAATATCACGGCGGGGGACACCAGAAATGGGCTTCACACATTGTGCCAATGTGGAGAATCGAACCCGGGTCTTCGGCGTGACGAGCGACCTTATCCATAAAGGGAATCAAACCCGGTCCGTTACAGGGCAACCTTTAGGCCTCTACATAGACACACTACAGAGGTGTCGGGTACTGGAAGTCCTGTACATGAGTATATATAGGGTTAGGCTTGTGGTTGAGCTGTGAGTTGATGTGATGGTTTGTCTGCTCCAGAAAGACGGCGGCGGCGGCGAAGGCCAACAAGATGCAGAAGAACTGGACATTCCACATGGAGGGCGTGATCTTCAACATCCTATTTCGTGAGTCCACATGTGTCTTCATGGTTATATACTGCTCAAAAGAAGTTAAGGAACTCCCGAATCCTTCAGTTTACTACAGTTCGGCTGTCATATGTCTTTAGCTCATTTAACACATATACTATTCCACTTTTGATAGGAATAATACACAAATATAATCTCCGTATGTCAAGTATGTACTGAAACAAATGACGTATCTGATTATCCCTCTGCAATGTTGAGTGGTATAAATGACTTTAGATATACATACATACATACAAATACTTCTATAGCGCCAGAATCCGATGTAATCGCCCAAAGGCGCTCTGAGTCCACGCTGGAGCTAAAGGTAAGCTTTGGTCAAAAGATGAGTCTTTAACTGGCTCTTGAAAGATGCGATTTCAGTCAGTGATCGAAGTTCTTGTGGTAGATTTTTTCCAGAGTTTTGCACCATTTGAAGAGAATGCTCGGTCACCAAAAGACTTTGTTCTTGTACATTGAATTTGCAAAAGAGATTGGTCACTTGAGCGAAGAGATCGGGTTGGCACATAGTGTTTTACAAGTTGTGAAAGATACCCTGGAACCAGTCTGTGGATGCATTTAAAACAAGAAGCAATGCTTTGTATTGGATTCTGAATTTGATTGGGAGCCAATGGAGATTTTTCATGACAGGGGTAATGTGGTCAATTTTCTTTGTTCTGCTGATCAATCTTGCGGCTGAATTCTGGACTCTGTAGTTTGTGTAGTACATGATTTGGAATACCACTGAGCAACGAGTTGCTGTAATCAATGCGTGATGTTACATACGCCTGCACCAGAGCACTCGTTGTTTTCTCGTCAAGGTACCTGCGTATCAGGCCGATATTCCGAATATGGAAATAAGCGCTGCGACAAACACCGTTGACATGTGGTTCCATGCAGAGATGAGTCAAATACTTCACCAAGATTCCGGACTTGAGAACTTGGTGTGATTTCACAGTGCCCAGTAGAGAAAGTGGGAAGATCAAGTTTTGCCCGGAGCCGCTGGGGTCTGAAAACGATGAGCTCGGTTTTGTCTTCATTTAATTTCAACCAGTGCGTTGACATCCAAATTTTGATACAGTCAACACATTCCTGGACTGCTATGAATGTGAAAAGATGTTGAGGCAGAATCGAGTGGCTTGAAGGACACGTAAACCTGTGTGTCATCCGCATAAAGATGCATACTGAGGTTAAAGGACCTGACAATATCACCAAGAGGGGTTGTGTAGGCAGTAAAAAGCAAAGGGCCCAGAACTGAGCCTTGTGGTACCCCAAACACTAAGTCACTAGACAGCGACATTTGACCTTGAATAACCACTGATTGTTTCCTGTCTGAGATGTAGGACTTGAACCACTTTAACACGACGCCTTTGACATTGAATCCAGGGATACGTGAGAAGGAAGAACAAGAGACTTCTGTTTAAAGAATAGTCGGTTGGCAACTTTAAAACCTCTTTCTGACCAGTCGCCTGACTTAAAGCCTCTTTATAAAACTTGCATTTAGCAGCTTCAATAAGGGAAGCCAGTTCGTTGCACTGCTGATTGTGTATCTGTCTGTGCACCTCAAGCTTGGTCTTCCTGTACTGGCGCTCAAGTTTGCGCCTCTGTCTTTAGCAGCACGAATGTCCCCGTTGAACCAGGGAGATCCTGTATGAGTTGTCACTGTACAGGACTTGACAGAAGCGTGTTTGTCGGCTAGCTTCGTCAACTCTGAGTTATATAGATCAACACATTCAGATATGGACATGATTCCAAAGTTAGCACAAGATCTTAAGATATCACTAGAAAATTCTTGACTATCAACATTCCTCCATTTTCGATAGCTGACAACTTTTCGTGACCTTTTCCGAACTTGTATACTGGCAGTGAAGTGAACACACAGATGGTCCGATTTCACAGAATGATCAAACTTGATATTCTTAATGCCAAGTTCATTCCTACGAACAATAACGAGGTCGAGAATATGTCCGCGTCTATGGGTGGGTTCCTTGACAACTTGCACTAGCCCATACGTGTCCAGGAGGTTGAGAAGTCTCTTCCCATCCACATCACTATCACGATCAACATGATAGTTGAAGTCACCGCATACCATAAGTTTACCAGTGACGGTCGTCAAACTTTCCAAAAGTGTATTAAACTCATCAAAAAATATTTTGCCAGAATTTGGTGGTCTGTACAAAACAATGAGATTTAAACATTGATTGTCCGATAAGAACTGAACTGGTAGAATTTCAAAGAAACAAGATAGTTCCCAAGAGTCAATATCTGCATTTTAAGTTGATCATCATAAACAACTCCAACTCCACCCCTTTCTAGAAGTTCGTGGCACATGCATGAATTTGAAGCCTGGGGAACGAGTCTATGTAGTGGTAGATTATCACTGTCATCACCTTTTAACCACGTTTCAGTAACAGCCAGCACATTTAGTTTATTATCCGAAATAAGATCATGAATACTCTGGGCTTTGTCATTTTGATGTTCCTGTGTGACAACTGATCTGGCATTCAATAATCCGATCTTGATGTTGTAATCTTTATAAGTGGGGAGAGATTCAGTTGTAGAAGATTTAGGTTTTTTGTTGCCACGGCAACCACGACGTGTTCGTTTTATTCGACAGATACCTAAGTTTCTCAGAGTGCTGAGAGTATTGAGAGGAATTTTAGTTTTCTCTCTGTTCTGAGACAAAAGAAACGATGAACTATATGACGACAATGCACAGAATAGAAACAAGAGCACAACTCTGATGATAGACTCCATGTCGAGCTTGTGTCACTCACAGAGTCAGGGTGAGAGCTGGTGATGATGTAACACTCAGGACAGGGCAGCCAGGAGAGAACAATAGACAGTCACTGTACGAATGCTATCCTAAGACGAATGGCTTGTGTATGAATTCACTCACTTGGTTGGATATAGATATAGACTTTAGATATAGTTCGGGTTGGTTCGTTGGTTGGTTTGTTGTTTTACGCCGCACACAGCAATATTCCAGCTATATGGCGGCGGTCTGTAAATAATCGAGTCTGGACCAGACAATCCAGTGAACAACAACATGAGCATCGATCTACGCAATTGTGATACGATGACATGTGTCAACCAAGTCAGCGGGCCTGACCACCCGATCCTGTTATTCGCCTTTTACGACAAGGGTTGTTGAAGTCTAGTTGTAATCCGGATCTTCACGGGTATAGTTAGGGAGGGAAGGAGTGAGGGGGAAAGATAGCCTATAGTAATAGGAAAGAATCGGGTGATTTTAAATTCCTTTGATTTGTATATAACTGAGCCATGATCTCTTATGTACTCAATGCAACGAAAATACAGGACAAGACGATAGTAACTGACCTTTTTATTATATACCATATAGTGAAAAGTTAGAAGCATGACACTATTTCCGGTTTGTTGTGAGGTTGAACTCATACAGAGCACCGTAAACCCGAAATCATTTCTAACGGTGAATGCGGTTTGAGTTTTTTCAATTCTAAAATTCAAATTCAAATGCAGCCTGGTATTTCAGGTGTCTCTCGTTGTGATATCATTTTTAAAAATTTATGTCAACAGCACCTTTTTGACAATCCCGTCAACAGTTTGCCCAAAGAATCGTGGTCATGCGCAGTGCATTGAGACGCCTCTCTCAACCGGACCACCAATGTCTGTGTAATTAGAGTCACGGGTAATGCTAGAATTTGTCACAAACAGAAAAAAACTTTCTGCCAGCTCCACAGTTTGTTTGTTTTCCTCACGAACGCGGAAAGCTGTCTTGATGAACAAGATGTTTAGAAAGCTAAGGCACGCCGAAGATTCGAGGGCACCAAAAATGGTCATGCACACCTGACGAGCGAACGCTTTAACCACTAGGCTACCTGACCAGCCCTACTCTTTAAGAACATATCTGGCTGTAAATAGAACTTACTCACAACACAAAACCAACCACAAACACCTTTATGAGGACATGTGGAGAGCATTCCAAGTACAATGCAGGGCGGGTAGGGGGAAAATTAATAAAAATATATTTCTCAATATGACGTGCATCTCGATCGATCCGTCCCATTCGCTTAGTAATACGTTCAGAAATCTATATGACAATGATTATTTAAAATCCGTGAATTGCTTCAGAAAACAAGTGCATTCTAATCAATATAAAATTATAAGAGAATTGAAAGAAAAACAGCACCAGAGGCAGACTTTGGAATTATTGACTGTCTGTGAGAAGACACGCCGTACATCCTCTCCAGATCGTTGAGTACCTTGTCGGCAAATGCAACCGTTGTTTCACTGGGGGATACAACATGTTACTAGGCACAACACACTCAGACATACACAGCACTGACAAGCAGCTCCCGTTACGCTATACTGCGCCTTATGAAATTAACGTGTCTCTTGTGTAATACTAAAAAGTCGACACAAACTGTTTAAAACAAAAACAAGAAAGAAAACCTCACACAAACCGCTCGTCCTCGCTGACGCTAATGCGAACCAAATGACCTCAGAAAAAATACAGTTTAAAAAAATGTGTAATGACATTTTATGTCGGGAAAAATGGCAATGCAATTTACAACAATGCACTTAGAGAAACTCATTGTTTTCGGAAGAACGATTCGATAAGCACGTTGTTTTGGCATGTTAAGTTTGCATAATTTAAGGAATGGCTGCATCACATACCAAAATATTCTTTGATTGAATCATGAAGAAGCTGTTTTGACAAGCGACAAGTATGTATGAATGTGAATTTTCGACTTTAGTGAAAGTCAAAATAGAATGTATAGTACATATCAAAACAGAACATGTAGTGCTAGTCAAAATAGACTAGTCAAAAACCAAAAGATATATAGTACAGGCCTTGGGCACATTCGTGAGCTTCCAAGCTAATGGTGCATTTATGACTCACTTTTATACCTCAAGCTCAAACATGATGTCATGACAAGGTGGTAGGGAATCGGATCTACAAAGTGCGCAGTGATACATGTTTATCCTTTCCCTTCACCCAATCAGAAAGCAGTATGTGATTA